TACTCTAAAAAACGGCTTATTACATATAAGCCCTTTCAGAATCATATGAGCATGTTAAAACACCGACTTTAAATAGGGGTTGTTGTAGCATCTCATTAAAACGACTCTTGAAAGCTATAACAGCTTTAGAAATAACTCAGTCCTACTCTGTCCTTTTACAGATGGGCACACTGACGTGGGAGCAGTTATGTGACTTACCCAAGGTAACAGGAATCACTAATACTTTAAAAGGATAGCAATGAGCTGGACACATGGCTGAGTACTTTACCTGCAGTGTATCAGTTAATCTTTACCAATAAAATCTCTGAAATAGGCACTAGTATTATCTCCCTTTTACAGATAACATAACAGACTCAGAGAGATCAAGATCACATTTAATAAGGGCCGACCCCTCCCTGACTCCAGGGTGGAAGAGTGATTAACAAGCAGTGATTTTCACTCCTTTATTCAGCAAACACTTATCGAGTGCCTGCGACACTTGTGCTACTGTCACTACACTGCACTTGGGCCCAGAGCTACAAGAGAAATGGAACTGGATCTCTGCCTCCAAGGAGCCTAGGAGCAGCCACAGGCTTGTAAACAAATCGTTACAGCACAGCGTGATGCGTGCTGGGCGAGAGGTTTGTACAAAGTGCTGCAGAGCCTGGAGGAGGGAACACACATCTAAGAGGTGGACGGGGGAGGCTGCATCTTGGAGAGAGCACTTGGGCTGGGTGTCCAAGTGCATGCAGTAGTTTCCAGGGTGAAAACTTGGAGGGAACTGCCCAGTGGTAGTGAGGCCACTCCCATGATGTCACTGGACACAACATGGAGAGCAGGTACTTCCACCCCTGCTCAGCACTAACAAGGAGACTTCCCTGACCCTGAGTGTCACAAGAGGCTGAGTGGGGACTTCTACCTTCACCAAACAGTAAGGAGGCAGCATGGCCCTCTTTCCTTGCCAGAGCAATGTCAATGAAAGCCAGCTAAAACAAAACACCCAGTCTCAGAACATTAAACAAAAAAGTCTAGGTTTCAACTAAGTATCATTTATCACACCAAGAACCAGGAAGATCTAAATATATATATATCAATAGATAACAACAGTGAGATGACAGAGATATTGGTCTTATCTAAGATTTTTAAATCAGCCATAATAAATGCTTCAAAGAGCAATTACAAACACTCAATGAAAAGATGGAGAGTCTCAGCAAGGAAATAGAGGATATAAAGAATCAAATGGAAATTTTTGAACTAAAAAATACAATAACTGAAATAAAAATCTCAGTGGATGGACTCAAGAGCAGAGTGGAGGGGACAGAGGAAAGAATTTGTGAACCAAAGATAGAATACTGGGGCGGAGGGGTTGGGAAGTGAGCAGAGCCTCAGGGATTGTAACAAAATATATAATATTTGTATCATTGGAATCCTGGAAGGAGAGGAGAAAGAGGGCAGGGATGAAAAAGTACTCAATGAAATAGTGGCTGGAAACTTCTGAAATTTGGCAAGAGTAATAAACCTACATATTAAAGAAGCTGAGTGAACCACAAACAGGGTAAACCCAAAGAAATCCAAGCCAAAACATCATAATTAAACTTCTGAAAAGCAAGCAAAGAAAAAACGTTGAAAGCAGCCAGAGCAAAACATCTTATCTATAGAGCGAAAATAATTAGAATAACAACAGATTCTCATCAGAGACCATGGAGGCTGGAAGAAAGTGGCGCAATATTTCTCAAGTGCTAAAATTAAAGAACTATCAACCCAGAATCCTATACCCAAACAGGATTATATCCCAAATAGATAGACCTAAAATATTCTTCAGGGAAAAGGAGGAAATGAAGACATTCTCAGATGAAGGAAACCTAAGAGAATTTGTCACCAGTTGACCTACCCTAAAAGAATGGCAAAAGGCTGTTTTCTGAAAAGAATGGAAAAGATAGAAGAAAAAACTAAGAACATCAGGAAGAAAGAACGTAGTAAGCAAAACGATCAGTAAATACAACAGGCTTTCCTTCTCCTCTTGAGTTTTCTAAAGTATGTTTGATGGTTGAAACAAAAATTATAACACTATCTGATGTGAGCTGCAAAAGAAAAACAATGTTGCCATTCAAGCTAGTTTTCTCTTTTTAACAGTAGGCCATATGTATTTCATCCCAGTGTCCAATAACAATAAAATTTTTCTTCGTTTCTACAGTGAATAAGCACATTTTGTCCACTAAGTTTAAGCTGCCACTTTTGGAAATAGAAAATTCTCTTGCTAAGAAATATGTTCTTTACTAATGGAAAAGGATGTAATGGTTAATAATGCCAGCATGGTACTACTTACAGATATGCACTTAATAGCAAAGATCTTTTTTATTATGTTGAATTTTGCCGGTGGAAATAAAATATTAGTTAAATACTGGGGCTTTAAGCTTGGTTTATAAGTCAAATCTGGAGAAAGTAGGATGAATTTGATAAACTCCATTTCAAAAATTTGCAACTGAAAAATGGTTCAGAGCACAGGAGGTTCAGGGAAAGCCCACCATGCTAGCTGTATTTTCTCTTCATGATGTGCCTTTAGAATCATCGAGGGACACATAACATGCAAGTGCAAAGAAGGAAATTTGGAAGGAACATAATATTTGTTTCCTCAACAGACTCCAATCACACCCGAAAATGCCCACAGATATGTCGAAGTCAGGTGTGGCTGCACCCTCACAACGCTCTGAGCAGAGTATTCGCCTTGGACGGAATCCATCAGAAACACTGGAAAATTCTCAGTAATCTGTTATCTGGCCACTAGCCCAGTTAAACAATTCACTTTAGCTGAGCAGGAAGAGAAGATGAAGAGTGAGAAGGGAATGGAAATGTTTAGGGATACTCTGAGGAAGGCCTTAGGCACCAACACTCAAATAATGCATATATATTAGGATCATTACTTTTTAAGGATATTCAAATGGATATTAAGTATACACAAAGATGCTCAACTTCTTTCAAAATAAGAGAAACGTTAAGTAAAAGCAAACCAAGATATCTTTTTTTTTTTCCTAGTCAATGGGCAAAGATCAAAAAGGTTGATAATACATTGTGTGGTTGGCAAAGCTCTCAGTAAACACTCCCATATATTTCTTTTGAGAGTATATATTGGCACAATACCTGTTGTCAGAGCTAAGATTTGATTTTACACTACTTACACGCTAATGAGGTAGCCTGTTATTCCTTCATGGATCCTGGAATAAGACAAGAGACTCCTGGATCAGAGACAAAGGACTTTATTACTCACAGCACATTCAGCAGCATGAGTGTCAGCATGTTTGCACAATTCTCCTCACCCCCAAGTCTCACAGGGGAAGCAGAGGAGACCCAGGTGGATTCTGCTCAGGTACAGTGAGCTTGAGGAGTCTACCCCTTTTATAGCAAGCAGTAAGCAAGCTTACGTTTTTGTCCTCAAGGGAGACATTACCTCATCCCTCAAGGTTGCTCACTGCAAACCCAATCCTGAGAAATGGTCCATGTAGAGTGGTCAGGGTCTTGCTTTCTTGGCATACTCAGCAAGATGTATAGAAGAGAGCCATGGAGGAGTTTCTCCCAAGATTTCTGCAGGGTAATTTGGCAACAAAAATTGCAAATACATTTAACTTTTGACCTAGTAATTCCACCTCTAGGAATCTACCCTACATATTTACTTGCACCCGCACAAAATGATGGCTATAAGAGATGATTTATTCCAACATTATTTGTAATATAAAAAGATCAGAAACAACTGATATGTCCATCAGTATGGTGCTGGTTTGATTATAATATACCCTAAAGATGGAATACCATGCAGTAATTATAAAGGATGAAAAATTTCTTATGCACTGGTATAGACTGCCAAGTGAAGAAAACAGACGCAGAAAAATATGCATAATTCTCCCGTTTGTGTAAAAGAGGCAGAGAAGCATACAAACATATTTTCTTGTGCTGTGTATGCATAAAGTTTCATTTCCCTAAGGATACACAAAAAACTAATATTATTTATTGTCTGTGGGGAGGTGAATTGAATGACAGAAGACATTTTGTTATTCATCCTTTTATACATTTTAATTTCTTTAATTTTATTTTTTGGTGAGGAAAATTGTTTCTGAGCTAATATCTGTGCCCATCTTCCCCTATTTTATATGTGGGATGCTGCCACAGCATGGCTTGATGAATGGTGTGTAGGTCTCCGCCTGGGATCTGAACCCACGAACCCCAGGCCGCCAAAGTGGAATGCGCAAACTTAATCACTATGCCCCTATACATTTGAATTTTAAACCACGTGATTGTACCCATTCAAAGACTAACCCAAAGTAAAACAAGCTATTATATTTTCTAAATTTCCTAATACCACCAACCATTTTATTTTTTTAAATTTTATTTATTTATTTATTCCCCCCAAAGCCCCAGTAGATAGTTGTATGCCATAGCTGCACATCCTTCTAGTTGCTGCATGTGGGAGGCCGCCTCAGCATGGCCGGAGAAGCAGTGCGTCGGTGCGTGCCCGGGATCCAAACCTGGGCCGCCAGCAGCCGAGCGCACCCACTCAACCGCTAAGCCACGGGGCCGGCCCCCACCAACTATTTTAAACCAAAGTTCAGGATGCTACACTTGTCCTTTCAGTTTAACTCTCTCACGTGGGGAAATTAGCTCCTATTCATGATTTATTCTATCACCCACTATACACATTTGATATCTCAGTTAATCCACTCAACAATCCTAATGAGGTATATTTTGTCACCGTCTTATAGAAGAGAAGCTGGGTCACAGAACCACACTCTGATATGGACTTTGTGTGTGTGACCTGAAAGCCTATTCTTTCCCCCACACCCCAGACCCTTCCTGAGACAGAACCCTGTCTGGGGAAGCTCTTCTCCTTCCCCTCTTGTAACAGTGGCTCCATCAGCTGTTGGCAACCCTGGCTGCATGTGAATCACTGGGAAGGTGCGGGAGGGTTACAATACGCTGATAAAAGCAAGAATCTACAAGTTCCCATAAAACATGACACCAACTAAGGGATCTGGATTAAAAATTTTAATAATAAATTGTGCCAGTAGAAGCTTTTCGAAGGCAATGATATATCAATAAATAATAGTTAAACGGTTCCTGAGAAAGAAACTACCACATGAAAGTATGTCAGAGCGCTGTAAATAACGACACGGCATCACTATAAAGTAGCGACAATACTGACAGTCACGAGACAAGCACAGCAGACTCCAGAAGTTGCCATTCATACAAATGTAAACCAGTACACAGGAATCGTGTGTTTTTAGTTTAGACACTGATAAACTTATAAGTGTTGCTGCCTAGATATATACTAAATAATGGATACATTATGCTAAAAACTTGAAGGAAAAATATGTGGAATAATACAATGAAAAATATGATGCATTGGATTTTTCAAAAAGCAAAAAAAAATTCAACTTTTTATTCAAATATAAATCACTTTAAATAGGAATCATACTAATTTGAAATAAGGAATATTTTGTGTGTTTATCTATGTAGTTATATATACATCTACACTTCTAAGAAAATATGTATGGCTTAATTATTTTTTATTCCAATGTCACTTTGAATAATCCTTGCTGTTTTACAAAGATTAGAAAAATGTATTTTTAAAACCAAGTTAAGATTGATACTTCAAAGCACAACAACAACAAAAATGTGAAGGAACCCTCAGATTACTAAATCTCCTCATGGTAACACCTCAGCTGTCTGTGACAGCAGGAGGAACAGCGTCACGCAGACCTTCCAGTGTGGGCAGTCTGCTGGCAGCAGGGTCACAGCCACTGATTCCACACATCAGGTACACCAAGAACGAAAAAGCATACTGACTATTGAAATGGACATAGTTCCATGATTAACTTAAAATTTTTGGAATAGCTAAATTAATCCCTTTTGATGTATACAAGTTTAGTATATGACAAATGTTTAAGCTCACCCCCAAAAGAATCCAATCACACCCAAGACACACACAAAAAAATCACTTCTCATTTACACATCTGCATTTGTTTAACAAAACAATAAGGGATACAATCATAGCGAAGAAGTCACCCACACGCTACGTTATCAGCACACTGTCTAGAACATCTCATTTAAAGATACTTGGTAAAAACATATTCACAGAACCCGCTGTGAATGGCAAGATATGGTAATTTTATAATAGAAAAACCCTGCTCATGCAGCACTTTCTACACACCAGACATCTGAAATCATACCCACATAATCACCTTGTTCACACTTTCTAATATACTATAATATGCAAAAAGCAGAAAAAAAAGCAGCTTTTAACATTATATCACAATTTTGAAATGTGGGAAAAAATATAAAACAAAAACCATTGTGTGAATAAAATGTATCAGTAACATCAGAACAGTGTTATCTTTTTTTTTTTTTACATTATTGCACAGAGATTTCTTATCACATGTTCTTCAGTTTTTATGTCTTTTCCTCAATGTGGATAAGTGCTATGGATAAAATACAAATGTAGAAAATAACAGCAGCATGATTTCTCAAAGTTAATCCCTATAATTTAGTAAGAAAAATGGCTATAAACAAAATAAGTGCTCTTTCTAAACTGTATTAAATTTTTAAAAATATTGTTTTAATGCAGTGAAGGTCCTCAAAAGTCAATTCAAAGCAATGTTGACACCCCACCCCACCTCCTGCCATCAACCAGAATCTAGAAATGAAGATCTGCTACACTTGAGTACTTTTTTAAAAAGATTTCTTGTTTGTTTTGGGATTTTTTGGTGAAGAACAGAATTTCAAGCGAAGTAATCAATGCACTAACTTAAGCAAAGCTGGCCTCAACGTCCATTGGCCTGTTAAGGAACCAGCTATGCGCCCCCCGGACTTCTGAAGAAGCAGAGTCGCGGATGCCGAGTCATTGTCTATACATACACCGGTTGGCAACCTTCAGCCTGATCCACTAGGTCAGAATTTTCCAAATCAGAGTTCTCAGTCTGTGAAGCTTCTGCTCCTGAAGGCTTTGGGCACCTAAAGGGGTAACCGTTGTCATCAAAGAACCTTCGAAAAGTGAATTCATAAAACGCGTGCTCAGGGTGTTTGTTATTTGGGGATGTGAGTGTGTCCCAGGCCTTGGTGCTGTCTTCACTAGCATCATTCCAAGGGCTTTCTTCATCGACGGGGTCAAAATTTGAGGTGTCCATGGGGTGGCTGATCTTGGGAACATAGGGGGCTGGCTGCTTCCGGATGTCACTAGAGAAGTCAATGGTGCCGAAGAATGGGTGAGCCTTCAGGTCGTCAGCCCCATTCCTCCCCAGCCGGTGGTCAGCGGCACAGCACAGCTTGGTGATAAGGTCCCGGGCCTCAGGGCTCAGCTTGACCTGGGTTGGAATGTGGAGCGTGTTCTCCCAGTTAATCACCTGAAGAGACAACAGAACCAAAGTTGTAGTTTCACCTCATATCTCAAAGCCAACTAGGGCAGTTCTGAGACAGTGCATGAGGACGTGACCTTGAAATAATTCTAGTGTCATGACAGAAGAACAATTAGAGCAGACACAGAAGCAGCAGTGTGGATCTGAGCAGCTTTAAAGGTCCGTGCGGTTTTAGTAGGGGTCTCACAGCCCAATGCACGGCATGAGAAGCCAAAAACAGACCAAAGGAGATTGATTTTCTTCTATGAGAAATACTGTTTAGCAAAAGAATTTTGTGCTTTCCACAAAAATGAAGAGGCTGATTCTCTACGAGTCATTTCTTTAGCTATGGCAACAGATTTCTGTTGAATCATTATGGTTCTCACTCAATACTTATTGTGGCTGAGAGATGGTCCACTGGGGTTCTGTTAAAAAAAAAACCAAACAACAAAAAAGGCAACCTCACAGAGAATAATAATAAAGCTGACTAACCCTATGGCCTTGGTCTCACGTTTGTGATGCTCAAACACACAGACCAGCCCTTTGGATGCTCAGTAAATACATTTGTCATAGAGATGTGTCTACCATGAAGAGAAAACCTAAGGGACTTCTTTATTATGTCTACTTAGAATCAGGATAAAACAAGGCCAATATAACTGGCTACTAGCTGGGATGACCAGGCATTGGGTAAGGCATGGAGGTAGGTGGCCGCATGGGTGGGAGGGTTGGTTTAAACCTGAGGAGTTATTTTCGTAGAGCTAAAACTATAAAACTCACATAGGGGAAAACCTTCATGACATTGGATTTGGTAATGATTTCTTAGATGATACCAAAAACACAGGCAACAAAAGAAAAAAATATATAAATTGGACTTCACCAAAATTTAAAACTTTTGTGCATCAATGGACACTATTAACAGAGTGCAAGCTATGGAATGGGAGACTATATTTGCGAAGCATATATCTGATAAGAGATTAATATCCAGAAAATATAAAGAACGCCTACAACTCAACAAGAAAAAACAACCTGATTAAAAAAGGGCAAAATACTTGAATAGACATTTTCCAAAGAAGACATACAAATGTCCAATAAGCACATGAAAAGATGCTCAACATCACTAATCATTAGGGAAATACAATCATTAGGGAAATACAAATCAAAACTACAATGAGATACCACCTCATACCCACTAGGATGGCTATTATGAAAAAAAAAGAAAAATAACTACTGGTGAGGATGCAGAGAAATGGGAACACTTGTGCACTGTTGGTGGGAATGTAAAATGGTGCAGCCACTGTGGCAAACAGTTTAGTGGTTCCTCGGAAAGTTCAACACAGAATGATCATATGATCCAGCAATTCCACTTCTGGGTATATATTCAAAAGAATTGAAAGCAGGGACTCAAATGGATACTTGTATACGTACTGATGTTCATAGCAGCATTATTCACAATAGCCAAAAGGTGAAACAACCTAAGTGTCCATCACTGGATGATGGATAAACAAAATGTGGTATATATATACATATACAATGGCATATTATTCGGCCTTAAAAACGAAGGAAATCTTGTCACATGCTACAACATGGATGAACCCTGAGGACATTATGCTAAGTGAAATAAGCCAGTCACAAAAGGACAAATATTATATGATTCCACTTACATGAGGTACCTAGAACAGGCAAATTCATAGAGACAGAATGTAGAAGAGAGGTCACAGGGGCTGGGGGAGGAAGAAATGGGGAATTGTTTAAGGGGACAGTTTCTGTTTGGGATGATGAAAATATCTGGAAACAGGTAATGGTGACAGTTGCATAATATTGTTAAGTGTACTTAATGCCACTGAATTGTACTTAATGCCACTGAATTGTACAATTAAAAATGGTAAATTTTGTCACAATAAAAAAAATTGGGTTATTTTCATGCAGGCAAATTAGTGAATGGTCCAACAGTTCAATTAAGGTACAGATAATGATAAATTGCAATTTTACTGTTCTTGGAGTAAAACTAAGCCTTAATTTAGGATTTTTCTAATTAATGGATTATTAATTTAGGGTCTACCATGGACTCTGGGGCATATGAATACTTCCTAGAATTGTTAGCAAATGTGTGTGTCTGTGGGTAAGCACACTGTTCTGAGAAGTTCCACAGAGTTCATCAGATTCTAATTCAATTCTACTTAAGTCATCAAATCATTTATTTCAGAGAGAGTAAATGGCCATCATTCTAAAACTAATTATTTAGTATTAAATGATTAATTGATAGAATAATTATCTAATTACTTCAAATGAATATTAGAAATATGCACAACTAGCCTGACCACATAGCTGATAATTTGCAAACAGTAATGATATAACATCCAAATAAACAAACTGATTTCTTTAGGAATAGTCATAGGTTTTCTGTTGGCTTTTTTTTTTTTTTTTGGTGAGAAAGATCAGCCCTGAGCTAACATCCATGTCAATCCTCCTCCCTCCCCCCCCAAAGCCCCAGTAGATAGTTGTATGTCATAGCTGCACATCCTTCTAGTTGCTGTATGTGGGACGCTGCCACAGCATGGCCAGACAAGTGGTGCGTCGGTGCGCGCCTGGGATCTGAACCCGGGCCGCCAGCAGCGGAGCGCGTGCACCCAACCGCTACACCACAGGGCTGGCCCCGAGGTTGGCTTTTTGCATGGTGGGCATGGGTGGTGGTAAAGAACAGATCTGAGCATGCCTTTACTGCTTCTCCCTGCTCATAGTTCTCACCTGGAAATACCAAGATGGCAGATGACCAATGGTTCAAATCAAATTTCAGATACACAAATATATCAAAACTCAAGTCTGGGCTGGCCCAGTGGCCTAGTGATTAAGTTTGGTGCACTCCACTTCGGCAGCCCAGGTTTGGTTCCTGGGTGCAGACCTACACCACTCGTCAGCGGCCATGCTGTGGCAGTGTCCCACATACAAAACGGAGGAAGACTGGCAACAGTTGTTAGCTCAGGGCGAATCTTCCTCAGCAAGCAAACAAACAAAAAAACCACACCAAAAAAACCTGAAGTCTAACTCCGTGGCTTTACTTATTAAAACAAAAATTTTTAAACAGGTAATAACAATAATACTGAAAAAAAAAATCCCATTATAAACAATTGACATTTCTACAGTATTCAGAACAAGAGGTCAAATGTTGACCCCAGATTCATGGGCCCATCAGAACACTGCATATCTCTGCAGCAGGCAGATGCGTGTTCTCCCCTCAGTTACCTTTAGCTGGGTTTCTGTGGGAGTAGGGGCCAAAAAGGGCGGCTGCCCCACCAGCATTTCGAAGAGAATCACTCCAACACTCCACCAGTCACAGAGCTGAGTGTATCCTGAAAGACAAAGTCTCACTCAGGCCCCAGCACAGGCACGCATTCTTCTCAGAGAGGAGTTTTATGAAATCCTGAACGACTGACTGTTAAGCAGGACAGCTTGCTCAAGTCACACGCTGGGTAAGAGAAAACAGACCCACACAAACTGTGACTCCCTGCACCTGCGGCTCAGAAGGCCGAGAAGGACCCGCTGGAGTGGCCGCCGTCTTCAGGGGGAGGATACAGTCACCTGTACTTTCTTATTTTCAGTCATTAGTCTGTGATAAACACAGGATGCTTTTCAAAATAAGAAAAGAGTTTTTAATTTAAAAAGATTACTGTTACTGTCAGCAACAATACTAACCAGAATTTTAAGTTCTTAAAGAGCATACAAACGGACACAAATTAAAACAGTATTAACTGAAAAACAGAGAGTGCTAAGACCTGTGAATAGTCAGGTGTGGTCAGTCAGGAGGGCTTCCTGGGGAGGCTTCCTTAGTCAGTTTTGGGAGAACTGAGGAATGTGGAGAAAAGGAGGGGGAAAGGGAGCACTCTGGCAAAGGAGACACCTGTCACCTGAGACGCTCTTGTGCGAGGCGCGAACGGAGCCAGGCCTCCTCACGGAGCTCCCAGCCCTGGCGGCTGAGGCAGGACGTCCTGCGGCTTGATCAGGGCCAGCCTCAAGCGGTCTGGAGAGCAGGTTCATTTCTCTTTGATTTTCTCCCACTTCTCCTCCAAAGCCCACAGCCCAAGCCAAGCCATGCTCCAGTCCTGACGTCACCTCATCCTTGCTAAGTGTGACTGGGCCGTAAGACCTGCCGGCCATATTTGCCAGGCTAGCTCCTTCAGACGCCCTCTGTTCTCCCCCCATCCCCTCTCCTCCTGCCCTAGCCTGGCACTGGAGGCTGCAGAGAAACTCCAACCACTGGTTCCTCTGGACTGCTGCACAGTCCAGAGGACTGGGCTGGAGACGGGCAGTGTGGGGAGACAGGGATGTCCTCCCCTACAGCCCAGCACCTCTCACCTCCCACTTGGAGAGGAGGGGGAGAATGAGACCTTTACTGGGTGGCAAGGTTGATTCAACAACCTCTCAAAGTAGTCACTGTTCTCTCTGTGCTCTGAGTGGTTAGGTAATTCACCTTGGATTACCACAACTAACAAAGAAAACTCAGATTGGAACCAAGTCTGGATGGCTCCAAAGACTGGAAACAACACATGTGAAAAGACAGGCTACTGATCTCTGGATTTATTACACAGGATCAGATCAACAACCACTGTTGCTACAGGCCATGCAACTGATCACTGAAAGATTCCTCCTGTACTCAGTCAGGTATCGTATTTGATGGAACAGAGCATCCACCCAGGAGACCGATTTTACTGAGCAATTGTAATTTTAGGCACATTAGTGTCCCCACATCTTACCTTCAAGATGCTTCTGGATTTGCAGGGAAGAATTGGAGGAAAACAATATTTGTATTCTGTCATACTTAATAACCAGTTGGAGATGGTACACCCAGCTAGGAGCCTGGGCAAGGAAGAGTTAAAGCTGGAGCCTGGAAATGTATGGCTTAGGCAGACTGAGTGGTATCCCTGTGACCCTCAGAGTTGTTTCTATCATATGACTCTGTCAAAACCAGTTCTGGAGTGATTCCCTTGGTTTTTTTTTTTTTTTTTTTTTTTGAGGAAGATCAGCCCTGAGCTAATATCCATGCCAATCCTCCTCTTTTTGCTGAGGAAGACTGGCCCTGAGCTAACATCTGTGCCGATCTTCCTCCACTTTATGTGGGACTCCGCCACAGCATGGCCTGACAAGCAGTGCGTCAGTGTGTGCCTGGGATCGGAACCCGGGCTGCCAGCAGCTGAGCACGCGCACTTAACTGCTACGCCATGGGGCCGGCCCCCTCCCTTGGGTGTAAGGTAGAAAGCCCACACCCTACACCCAATCTATCACTTCCCAGCCAAAGGAAGGGGCGAGCAGAGACCGGCCTAATGGTGCGTGTCTTTTCTCACCCTGGGAGCAAGGGCAGCTCAAAAACAGAAATGAGACATGCTGGAAGCCTGTTTGTTAAGGGAATAATTTCACTCTCAGGCTTCCATGAGTATAAAAATACACTAGAAACATCGAGAGTCTTGGAAAGCTGAAGCTGGAGAGACTCTCTGGAGGTCATCTGGCTCCACAGGTTTGACGTCAAGATGGCCTCCAGTTGGGCAGCTGGCTTGTGGAGCACTTGAGGCAAGGGGCCCAAGCACGTACCTTTTCGGAGGAGCACTTCTGGCGCGATGTAATTTGGAGTCCCAACCAGGGAGTGAGCCAGACACCTCTGATGCTGCTTCCTGGCTCTCTGCTCCAGGGTCTTCAGCCTGTCTCCACATCGACAATTAGACACATCGTCCCAGAGGTCGCTAGGCTCCATGCTGTCTTGTCTGATGTGGCTCCCTTTCACCCAGGATTCAGGGGTGGTAAAAGAAGAGAATAAAAAACAAAGTAACTTTTCACAATTCAACAATGCAACAAATCCATAGCTTCAAAGGGAAAAGTAATTCAATTTAGCTTCTGGTACATGAAGATAAAGAATCCACCCCAACAGCAACTGGCCTTTGGTTCCTGGGTCTGAGCTGTAAGCTGTGAGGTAAATGCACCAAGAAAGAAACAACAGAAGAAGTGATCACAGGAGCTGGACACTGTGCTGAGGGGACAGCATGACACTGAGTAAGAAAGGCTTAGATAACTGTGGTGACATTCTAAGCACTTCTCGGGCCAATCTCAAAAGGCCTACACCTGTTTGACAAAACGTGTTTTAAGATAAGCATGGAAAAGCATAAGAGGATTTAAAAGATATAAACAAAAATGACTTCAATGCCAGAAAATGGGAATGTATTAAATGATTTAAGATTAGTTCTGAGTTAAAAAAAAAGCCCGAGGGGTCGGCCCCATGTCCTAGGGTTAACTTTCAGTGGCCCGGGGTTCAGTTCCCAGGCGTGGACCTACACCACTCGTCAGCCATGCTGTGGCAGTGACCCACAGACAAAACAGAGGAAGACTGGCACAGATGTTAGCTTGGGGCAAATCTTCCTCAAGCAAAAAGAGGAAGACTGGCACCAGATGTTACCTCAGGGTGAATCTTCCTCACCGAAAAAAAAAAAAAAAAAAAAGCCTGAGCTATGGCACTACAGTAACTCTTTCAAGAACCTGAGCCACAAGTGAGCTAAGGACCAGCAGAACCACAGGAGATGGAGTTAGACTATATCTATATCTATACCTATATCTACCTATACCTACACCCATAGATAGACTCAGGTTAGCATTAACACGGGACTTCTTGGGAAGCTGTGAGACTTATTTTTTGTGGCACATTTTAATAGGGCAGAGTGATGGTTCGTCACAAAGGCCCGATGACACCCCATAGCCCATTGTTCTAAAAATATTATAGTAAAACTTAAATCCACTAACTTAAAAAAAAAACCTCACACATATCACACTATTCCTTTAGGGAGAAAAGGACATCACACCAAATTATAATATAATGGAGTGACAGATAGTTTCCAAATGATTAGGTGCCACCAGGGTGGGACACAGTTACCTTAGGTGGTTTACTTATGTCTAGATGTAGAAAGTGGATGTGGCATGCCTAGGACAATACCTTTCTGGTAGTATTTGGAATTGTGAGTCCACCTGAATCCAGTGCAGAGGCCAAAATCTGTCAGTTTGATGTGGCCATCAAGATCTATCAAAATGTTGTCTGGCTTGATGTCTCGGTGGATAAAGCCCATCTTGTGGACACTCTCGATGGCCAGGGTCAACTCTGCGATGTAGAACCGGGCCAGGCGCTCAGGGAAGACCTCCATCCGGATCAGCAGGCTCATCATGTCCCCCCCAGGGATGTAGTCCATCACGAAGTAGAGGCTGTCCTTGTCTTGGAAGGAGTAGTAGAGTTTGACCACCCACTCATTGTCTGCCTCAGCCAGGATGTCCCTCTCAGCCTTGACGTGGGCCACCTGATTCCGGTTCAGGACATCCTTCTTCCTCAGGGTCTTCATGGCGTACAGGGCATGAGTGTCCACTTTACAAGCGAGGCACACTTCTCCAAAGGCACCAATCCCCAGGGTTTTGATTTTCACAAACATGGACTTGTCCATCTTGGCCCTCTTCAGCCTGTTGTAATTAGACTCCTTCTGGTAAAGAATCTTTCTCATCTGTTCCTGCTCAGCCTCACAGAGTCCAGCCTGTAGAAGGAAAATCAGGAAGAGTCATGTTAGAGGAACCCCATGACAGGAAATGGGTGGGGTGAGAGATGCCCTAGAAGTGAGTGGACCCTAACTTAATCTACAGAAATAAGAATATAGAACAGGTCCAATACACTGCAAGTAAGATAATAATCGGTATTGTTCTTTATATCCATATATAGACACAAATCTGGAATCCAAAGGGAAAACAAAATAGGTGAGTTTAGGCTCTAAAATCTAAAGGAAACCTCTATAAATAAAAATCTGTGGAAAAGGGAACCACAAAATTCCTGGAATTCTAGGAGCAATTTAATTTTTTTTTTTTTTTTTTAGCAATTTAATATTTTAATAGTTGAAGGAAGGGCCGGCCCCGTGGCTTAGCAGTTGGGTGCACGCGCTCCGCTGCTGGCAGCCCGGGTTCAGATCCCGGGCACGTACCGATGCACCGCTTCTCTGGCCATGCTGAGGCCGTGTCCCACATACAGAGACTAGAAGGATGTGCAGCTATGACATACAACTATCTACTGGGGCTTTGGGGGAAAATAAATAAATAAAAATTATAAAAAAAAAAAAAATAGTTGAAGGAAAATAGAAAAGAAAAAAGCCAATGAAAATGGGACAGCAGAAAGTAAGAGCACAACTATGATTTTTAGAATTTGAAATTATTGGCTTTGTGTGATTTAAATTTACAGTAACACTTTAATTTAAACAATTTCATTAATTACCTTCTCTAGCAGTTTAGTGTCAACTAAGTACATTTAAAACATTATTTGCTAATTACAGACTTGAAAGATAAATGAATCACTACTAGATATATTTTTCTTTATAAATTCCACAATTTCAATTTATGAAACCTGAAACTTTGTTTACACTGTTTCAAAATGTTTTATTACTAGTTAGTAAAATTTGATGAACTTTGTTAATGAGTAAGGACACACCATAAAAATCGATTTGGTAATTTACCTGTTGGCTACATCAAGCATAGCTATCACCGACCCCCTGCAGAGTCGGGTGAAAAGGAAAGGGAGGTTGCAACATTTGTAATTTCTCCAGGTTGTTTGCCCCATAACCAGACTGTTGCCCCACGAGACAAACGGTTTGTAATAAGGCTGCATAAAGCAGAAACAACATAGGGATTTTGCTGAGATCCCCTAGGAAAGAGCCAGGGCCAAGGGTAAGAATGAAATGAGAAATTACTTTCGCCATTTCTTGTTCCAGCTGCAACCTCCGGTTGACCTTCTGTTGGTAGGTTTTTATGACATTTTCCACGTGCTGCTCCATGAAGAACTTAAACGCGTATGGCGAGTAACTCTTGATGCGAGATTCTCTCTTCTCTTCATCTCGGCTGTTTTTCCGAACAGGAACAGGAGAAGTCTGGATCTGCTTTTTATCCTTCCCCATTTTCTCCCCTTTGGCGTTTTTGTGGCTCTTGTTCCTCTCGGCGGGCTCCGCGGCCTGGCCCCCTCGGAGGCCCTGCTCCATCCCCACACACAGGCTGTCCATGTCGTACTGCTCGGACTTGCTCTGAAGCAACAGGTGCTTCGGGTACGGCGGGGGCGGGCACCTCATCTCCGGGCTGCCGTACTCAACATCCAGCGGGTACGCAGTGGCGCCCCCCAAGGGCAGAGGGTGCTCATCCTTGGAGTCCAGACTCTCCACCCCTGGGGGGGGTGCCGGCACCCAGGCTGGGTGGGAGGGCCCCACGGCCGTCTGGGGCTCAGGCCTCATCACCCTTACACTCTTCACTGGGTGCAGGATGTGGGCGGCCGTCACGGCCGTGATGGTGTTGGGGGAGGGCATGGTAGGCTCTGGTTTGCTGGGCACTCCTGCCCGGAGGGGCACGGCCCCTTGCTGCTGGTGGTTGTTGAAGGAGTTGGTTCTGCTGGGGACAGGGCCTTCGGGCAGGAACGCCACGTGCTGGCGGGGCGGCGCCTCCAGGCCCGGCTTCTGAAGAGAGTCGCGGCGGGACAAGGTAGACGACTGCCACTGCTGGGCGGGAGGGCTGCTCACGTCATACAGATCCACGTTGAGGCTGTTTCTAGAGGGAGCAAGCAGACTCGGGGGGGCGCTGTCGCTTGCAAACACCTGGCCCCGAGAGCCCATCATGTGCATCTGGTGGGCTTGCTTATGGTGTGGGTGTGGCACGTACAGACCAGTCGCTGCTCCCGCTGGCTGGAATGCATGGCCGGCCCCTGGCTGCGTCGCCGGGCCCTTGGCAGCCAGGTTTGAGAACACTCCTGCCTCCTGCGGCGTCTTGTTCTGGAAGGAGGGGCTGCGCTGGACGCCATAGCCCAGGGGCTCCCCCGGCACCAGCAGATGTGGCCTGTAGTGTGGCCCTTGCAGTGGCAGGGCCTGGACGCCGGGGCTGGTCCCAGGGAAATTCATGCCTGTGGCCTCCAGGTTCGCAGCATGGCCTTTGGGCTGGTGCTGATGGCCGCCAGGCACACCGTGAGGGCTCGCTCCAACAAAGAGAAAGTCCACGTACTGCCGAGGCACTTCCTCCAGTGCGCTGGTGCCCTCGTAGGCTGCCCCGCTCATCGCATGGTAGGGCGGGAAAGGGTCGCCTGTTCCCTCAAAGCTCGGCCTCCGTGGCACAGCACTTGGTGCGATTCCCTTTCCTGCAAAGGAGAGAAACGGAAGATGGTGTTAAAGGGGAAGACAGCAGAGAGGGCAGAGGGGTACACGGCAGGAGAGGGGATCTGCTCAGCTGGTCTGGCACTTCCAGTCTAATTCCTCACACCGGCAACGTCCTTCGGACTGACACTACTGCACAGGCTCTTCCATAACTAAAGGCCGTCTGACACAGGCCGAATTCTGCTGTGGGCAGATCCGGGGGACCTTCTGAGTCAAAAGGCCCTGCCCTGCCCATCGGACACCCCTCACGGGAACACCTGGCAGAGCCAAGGCCCTCTACAGCCATTGTATCAAGCAGAAGTCACAGCCAAACAGTGGCTTTGTTTTCCTGGGCCAAGAATAAGCATCAGTGAATCCACATCAAAGGCAAACGTAGAGGAAATTCATCACCTACGGCGGCCTGTGTCTCCCTTGCTGCTGTGCTCTGAGACAGCCCTGCAACGCTAAGAATCTTGACATGGAGGCTGGCCGGGCACCGTTTAAGGAAATTCCCTCTATCAAGAAGAAAACAGAAATTTTGTGTCCCCTTAACAAGGAAGATACAACCTACAAAGCCCGTGCAATTTTCTCACCCAACAGATGAAGTAGGTTTTATCCAAGGTCTTCCACAAAATAGGGAGAATGTCTTTTGCTAAATATCATGAATCCCTTACCACACCCGGGCCTCAGGTACTAAGAACATTTGCTGACAGCCAGCAAGGCAGAGCGTTTGATGCTGGTGACTCTGGCCCTTCCCAGGGGACACCGAGGTGGGCTTTCCCAGTACCACTGCCCAAGGCCTCCACTGGGCAGCCTGCTCTCAGAGGCTACAGTTAAACCTCCCTTTTCAAAGACCACTCCCCTGCCCCACAGGCCCCAGGGAAAGTAAAAACAATTTTACTCTCATTCTGCTGGGTTGCCTAATTTTAATATCCAGTGAATTTTTCAATCTTTCATAAAACAAAACACAACTAGTACACAAACATCCCCAGGTAGGAAGTATCCCAGGTTATTTCAGGTGGGGGAGGGACAGAGGCACTCGGGTAAGTCCCATGATCTACACCTGCTGCCTCTTGCGCCAGGGCCCGAATGTCAGAGCAGAGCAGGCTCAGTTCACCCATCACCAGAAGGAGGCAATGTGCCAAGAGACAATCTGCTGACCATGGCCACACTGGACCTCCCTTCCTGCAGACTGTTTTGTGTTTTTAAATCACAAATCACCTTCACTCACCATGCGGCGGGGCTGAGCTCACCTGGGGAAGTCTGCTTAATGACTCGCACAATCTGCTCATTCCTCGGGTCCAGGTAGCCCATCTTACTGATGTACTCCAGGGCGGCTTCAATACTTCTGCTGCCGGTCTGCTTGAGAGCTCTGCCCGCCATCTCCTGGAGGGAAGCACAAAGACACTTGGATGGGAGGAGTGTGTGCATGTCATCTTAAAACACATCACCAGAGACTTCCATTCTCACTCTGCACCTGACTGCTGTGACGTCCGCCTCTCTGTGACTGCCGGGGTCCTGCAACACGCTGCAGACAGTCTCAGAATGAGCACAGCTGGCTACATGTCCTCAGCTGCCTAATGACCAGAGGTTAACACACACTAAACCACACTCTTCAGTGTCACGACCATACAGGAATTCTGACAGTGGACCTGAAAGAATCTTAAGTCCTGCTTCTTCTTAGAAAACTGTTGTGACTGGACTGATAAACCCTGGTCCGCAGATACACCTAAAACTAGAAAAGTTGAACGTGAGGAAGGGTTGAAATCAGAGAACCTGACTTTAATGCCAGGCTAACACTGCTGCGGCTGGACCAGGGGACCGGCCCCAGGGGAGGGGAGGGGTGCCGGTCGTTTATGAAAAGCTTACCAAATGCCTGCTGTTTTTACAATGCCTGTGCTGCTTACATCTGTAGGGGACTTGCAGTTAGGGCCCTGATCTAGTGGGAGAAAGAGAAGACAGGCACTCCAGGAGCCCTTGGAGCAATGCCTGGCACAGGACAGACCCCTTAAAACCGTCTGTGGGATGAACACAGGACGGAAACTGGTGACCACCATGGGGAGATGCTGGTAAAGTGGACGAGGATCAGAGGAGACAGATCCCTTCTGCCGAGGGAGAGGGCACCAGCGACTGTTCATGGAAGAGATGGCAGCACAGCTGGCTCTTCAAGGACACACGGAATTCGGGCAGATGGAGAGCCCAGTAGGGAAAAGGCATTCTTGGCAGGTGGAACAGTCCAAGTAGCCCCTTGAGGGGGAGAATGGGCTGGATGGCAGGCAGCAGGCAGAAGCATGAGGAGACAGCGAAGATGGACCCAGACTGGGGTCTGGGGCCTGAGTATCCCGGGGTTTTGCCCCTATTTGAAGGCAGTCGTGGAAGCTTTCCAGCAGGGACATAGGTCAATAGAAGATCAATGTGGGGCAGAGAGACGATCAGCAGAGCTGGAGGCACTGTCAGGTGGGGAACACAAAGCAGGCAGGAGTGGACGGGGGACAAAAGAGGCAGACAGGGCTGTGAGGGCTGTGGCTCAGGCGCCTGAGCGCCAGCTCTGCAGAGCTGTGAGCAAACAGGCAGGATGAGGAGAGGGGAAGAAGACCACAGAGGCAGTCTCCCGCAGACGAGGATGGAACAGGTAGCAGCAGCAAAAGGGGATTCTACAGAAGGAGCACTGAGTGTTTGAAGGTCACAGGGCAGGCAAGCAGGGAGGAGGAAATTGAAGATGCAGAAGAAAGAGGGTGGAAACAAGAGATGAGAGGGGGTCTGAGGGCATAAGGGTGGGAGAACACTGAAAAGGAGACTCATATAACTCAAACAGGAGAGAAGCAAAGGGGTGAGGAGGCAGGAAGATCTCAGGATGATGAGAAGGCAGCTCAGGGCTGTTCTGCTGCAGGAAGACAGTGGCCGTGTCAGCAAAGAGCCACTCTGGAGAAACATGGCAGTTGTCCCAGTGCTGGGAATGGACCTACTCTCCCTGCCTTCCTACCTAGGAGTTTCTCAAGGCCAACCTGGAGCTGACCAGGCCACACTGGGTCCCCGTTGTCCCCAGGACAGGGCATCATGCACCTGTGCCCTTGATCAGACTCTGTGTCTGTCTCCTCCCTTAGGACTGGGAGAATCTGGCGGGGCCTGAAACTCCACGTCGCCCACAGCTACATCCATCCAACCAACACAGTAACTGGAACAACTTAAGTGCTTAATATTCACTGGATTATATAATATTAAAATCAAATTTTCCATTCTTGGCCATATTCCAGCTGAGTGGTAGGACAAGACGTGCTGGTTGTACTTGGCTGTAACCTGTGCCTACATTTGTAGTGCTGCAAGTGTGAGACACTGCAAGGCAGTGGAGGGGCAAGGAAAGGCAGCCTGAGATCCAACACTTGGGGAGGGGACACTGGAGCGCAGGCCAGGCAGGCAGAGGGTTCGCCCGGAGTGTGTGTGAGGAGACTGCATCCGGGGTGGAGGGACATGAAGTGACAGCTTCTCAGGCAGATTGGGAAATGGTAATAAGAACAGAGCTGTTTTTTTTTAAAGCAGCACTTGGATTGACAGAAAGGGCAAGTGTTTAAAATCTGGAAGAGCTGTTGAGAGAGACAGCAGAGGTTTAGAAGCGAACACTTCAATGCCTTACCTGTAGACGGGAGGTAATATTTCAACCTCCCTACTTCACAGCTATGTTATGCGATGAGATCATGTCTGCAAAGAACTCTCGACAGCTTGGAGAAAGACACGGTATAGGGCTGCATCTCATCGGGATCACTCTGGAGCTTTTGGCACCCATTAGAAAAATATGCCAGTAGGACTCGGCCCTAAACCACAAGCTCTTCCATCAGCACTAACTGTTCAGTTCAATCTGCATTGTCTGGAACGTGACCACCAGCTCCTGTCTCCCTCGGGGTGAAGTGCTAGACGTGTCCATTACTTCGGTACCTTCTAAATGTCAGGAAAGTGCCAACTCCAGGGTCGACCATGTCAAAACATGTACGGATTCAAACTCTCTCCCTGTTTACTGGGCACCTACAACGTCCAGATCTGTACGCTTACTGTGCTTCAAATCTAGGAACTCTACCCAGAAAATCAACATGCGGAGATCACAGATAATGACTCGTGTTCACAAGGATACTTCAGATCATAAACCTAACCACACTAACGAGCCAGCTTGTTTATCTAATAACACCTTCAAGTAATCCACAGCCCCCTCACTTAGCAAACACGTTGTTTCTATACACTACCTCTCAGAAGATGCTGCTATACACAGACACAGAGCTATGTCTTCAAAGCTGAAGGAAATCCAGAATCATTTCCAAATCCATCAGGAATATACAACCCTGTCTCCTCCAGTCTCCCATCTGCCACGGGCTGTTAACAGGCCTGAACGGCCGGCGGCAGCACGTGACTCCTTGAGCAGCACAACCTGCCTCCTGCAGGGCTGCCATGCGACCCTGGGAGGCTCTGTGTGACTCCAGCCCCAGACGTCAGGCCAGTAGCTTGGAGTGTCACTGTGAGAAGTGACTCCAAACCTGCTCGGAGGAGAGGGGCAGAGAGAGGGGTGCAGCTGCCGCCTGGAGCATCCCCACACAGTGTCCAGGCGCTGGGCTTGGCCACCTGGACAATGGAGGCCTCTACCCAAAAGGTCAGCTGCCTTCCAGGCACAAGTCAGGGATTACGGTGGGACCGAGGGTGCTTTACACAGTACTTCTGGGGCACTCAAATTCTGCCCCACAGCTTAGGCACTCTTCCTGGGTGGTATGTGCTCGCATGTTGGCATAGTTACATCCCAGGTGTTTTAAACCTCTAAGCATTTTGCACGGGCTTCTGCATGTCAGCCCTCCTTGTCCCTTTCTCCTGCAGCAACCCGTGGGCTTCTAGACGGTCTCCTCTTCCTTCCCCCTCTCCCCTCCCTGCACTTACCTGTATCTTGTGCTCCCATTACCCCCTGTCCCAGGGCATTTAAAGTCTCCCTACTGGGCCAGGAGCCCAGTGAGCACAGGGGTAGGACCTTACTAATTTTGGTTTCCCTAGTACCTTGGGTAACAAATACCTTTTAAATCAAACTAGAAAGGTTAATAACATATCTGTAATAGAGAAAAGGAAACAAAGTAAAAACTGAGGGAGTAAGGGGGTAAACTAATGAGGCCAGCCTTAAAGTGATGTGGCATGCCTGGGACCCAGGCGGTGACAGAGCAAAAGCCCACACCCGCCCACACAAGGACCACCTCACTCACAGAAGCTGTGAAAACAAAGAACCTACCATCTTCCAACTAATCACAAGGACCTGACCGACTGTGTAGCTACTGCCCCACACCTTTCCTTCAGTGAATACCTTTCACTGAGCGCTCCGTGGGAAGCCTTGCCCTCCAAGGCAGATCTGAGAGGAAGCAGGCGCAGCGAGCCCCTTGGCCAGTGGGCCACCTGTCCCTCCCTGCCCTCCTTCACTGCGGAATGTGGCTTCCCCTGAGCTCAAGGGGAAACAGGTGAGATTTCCCCACCCAGAAGCCACTGCCATGGAAGCTGGAGCGAAGAGGGGCTCACGGTGCCCAGACAAGTCAGGGCTGCCACTCGGGCAGCCGGCAGCCATGAGGGGATTCCTGAGACATCCAGACCACAGCGTCTGCCTCTGGACCTCAAGGGTGTCTGGGCATCACGGCGCCCTCCCACTTCTGTCTGTCCGACTGCCCCTTCCCCTCCCCACTCCCTGTCTATTTGTTTCATCTCGACTGTCCATTTCACAAAATTGCTCATCAATTTCCAACGGACTAACTAAGAAACAAAAACCATTGATCAGTCTGTTATCAAATTCATAATGAAAATTACTGGAAGAAAAAAACAGAACACAAGATGTAACTAACAACAGCTGAAAGTGCATATCAGAGGGATTACTGGTGACTAAACTTGACAGAAGAGTGACTCTTCTACACAAAATTCAAACCTGGGGGCTCAGAGACTTGGACGTGGTAGAAATAGTGGCCACTCAAAATTCACAGCATGGAAGCTAAAATGGGTAGAAGCTGATATGGTCAAAAGCTGATCATGAATCCAATCTTCACTATAAAATCTAAATGGAAAAGAACTGATTTTGATGAAAATCAAAGTAAAAATGGAAACTACTGGAAATTATGTAATTTCTAACTAAACCTAGAGCTTGAGAACTGACAAATAATGAGATGACCTTAAGCAAGTCGTAGAAAGTCACTCTAGCTTCATTCCCCACGCTCTCCCCGACTGACAGAATAGTCCTGCCACCTCTACCCACGAGACTCCTCTGTCTGTGAGGCTCTGCCACAGAACCGCCCAGGATGGTCACATTTGTGAAGCTGGCTCAGCTGTGAGGTGCATTCTTTCCCCACTCTCCGCATATCAGGTGATAGAGACCAAATGGACTCTTA